CGTGAAGTGTTAATACCACTTTATAATGCCTTGGTAAGGCCACACTTGGAATACAGCATTCAGTTTTGGTCAGCACAATAGGAATAGCAATAGCAGTTAGACTTATATACCGCTTCACAGCGCTTTCAGCCCTCTCTAAGTGGGTTTACAGAGTCAGCATATTGCCCCCAACAATACGGGTCCTCATTTTACCCACCTCGGAAGGATGGAAGGCTGAGTCAACCCTGAGCCGGTGAGATTTGAACAGCCGAACTGCTGAAGTAGCCTGCAGTACTGCACTCTAACCACTGTGTCACCTCGGCTCTTTTTAAATATATGAACAAAGTATCTTATTAAAGAGCCCACAGCCTGATTCAAAGACGACTGTGTCTATAAAAACTGGAATATTTAAGCAGGAATTCTATACATGCAAACTTGCCATACTGATATTTAATAAGAACTCCCATGTGTATTTTGAAGATATTGAGTTTTGAAGTGGACTTAAAATTTGCCACATCAACTGTAACTCTCAGGATGCCACTAACTAATGGTTATTCAAACTGTAATTCAATAACCTAGAAGGTAACTAGGTTGGAAAAAGTTGGCTTCAAGCAAATATTTGGTTCTAGTAAAAGAGTATATAAGAGTAAACTCAGGGTTGAACTGTGAAAATATTACCTAGTTGAGTAATGAAACAAGCAAGCAATCAAGCTCAGAGAACACCAAGGACTCCATAAATATTTGAGTTAAAATTAAGAATCAAGGTTACTTGCACACATGACTAGACAGTAGCAATTTTAACAGCTTTTCAAAACCTTAGGTGTTAAAAGAAAATTTACATTTGAAATTATTAAACTCAATTAAATTCAGCATATTCTGCAATTAGTTGGTATTATTAAATCCAGTTCAATTTTTGGTGATTGTATGGCTAATGTTTTGCCAGCTTGATTTCTAATGGTCATAGCTGATGAAATTCTAATAATCTTAAATTCCATTTATTCATTGTATTAACTTTTCTTTCCCTTTTTCTACTTTCCTCCATTTGACAAGCATAGGTTTTTCTAATCCCACACCTGCTGATCTCATATGCCAAAATATGCGAGCTTCTGCTTGCTGATCATTACCTCAAGGTAAGTTTTTATTTAGTCCAAGACTAGCTGATTCTTCTTTCGGTCCACAGTTCTCTCAATATGTCTTCTTTCATTCCTTCTCAATATCTAGTTTTCTTATTTGTATATCACTACTAGAAAAAAACTAATACTTTAACTGTATTAATGTCATTAAAATACTCTTATCCACCATCTTGTCTTCAAAGTTGTCATTCCTTTCCCATCTAGAATTCTTCTACCTTTCCATCCTCTTTCTGGGTTCTCTTCTACTTTTCCATTCATCTTTATTGTTTCTTAGGCAATAATCAAATCTACCTATTACCTTCACTTCTTCATCTTTAACTGAAGAGGCCAACTAGGCTGTGTCTAGACCAGGCCTAAAATTTGATTTCCCTGCTCCTAGTCCTCCTCCTTAATCACTAAACCAAACTGGCTTTCATAAGGATCTTACAACGTTCGCATGCAGTTTTCTATTTGCTATAAAATTTTCCTTGCAACTTTTCTCCCTTTTTTTCTTCTAGTTGACATTATTGACATATCTGTTCTTGTCCTTACTTCCTTGTTGATAGAGTTCTCTATTTAGTTTATTTATTTTATTTGCCTGAGTCTTTAACATCTTCCATTTTTCCCCTGACTATCGTAAATGGAGGCTTTTCCTCTTGGTCTGGAGGAGAAAAAATTGCCTGTGTTTTCACAATATCTTTAAACCTTTTATGAAATAGAATAATAATTTAATATAATCACTGATAAAGGAATTTCTAATGGTTCTTGGAAGAAAAAAAAATCTAAAATGAACTTTTGAATTCACTACCTAGATGTAAAGGTTCAAATACGTACCTGTGGTGTAAGAAATTTCTCAATGCGTCTAACTATAAACATTTTCTCCAATATGGAGTTGACAGACGGTCGATCTCTTGGATTTCTTTTAAATAACTGTGAAATAAGACTCCGAAGTTCATGGGAATAACGTGTAGAAACAGGAGGAAATGATCCAGAGATTATTTTGAGAACTAAATTTTTCATATTACCAGCTTCAAACTAGAGGGAAAAAAGTAGAATTTATTGGATAATAGCAATGCTGTTAAATATACTTACTGATATTCTTAAGTTACTTTAAAATATATTTCAAGATATTATTTTTTTTCACCCAACAGGAAACTTTCACAGATATTTTTTTCAATATCTGCATATTATGTGTATAAACTGGGAATTTTTACAAGAACTAATTTAGATTAATTATAGAGTAAAAAAAAACCTGATCAGTCATTTTGTTCCATAGTTTTCATCATATTCTGTAATTTTTCACAAATATGGAGGTGATTCACCTCTCATAGTGCTTCAGAAATATAAAGAATGCACTTTGCAAATATAAATAAAACAGGCTACATGCAATTATTTCAAGGTTATATTTATACAAAGAATTGACACACTGAAACTAGGATTTATCTCAGTAAACATACTTAAGTGGTGCAAATTGCTGTAAGGAAGAAGGAACTTGACATATTAATGTTAATTTATGCGGAAAAGTCGATGAATGAGTATAAATTGATAACTTAAATCTTAATATTACTAACTATAATCTCAAATTTTGTGACTTTTTTACAATATTATTCAAAGCATTCAAGTCATCCAACATATGCATAAAGTACAATAGCTTTTCATGTAAGAATAAGATTATATAAAAACACATTATTTATATTGTTAAAGCAAAATAGAATTTGTCATGACAACTGAGAACATAGATAAAATAGCTAAGGCAATTATTTATTTCTTCACCAATACCCAATTACCAAAAATATTATCAGCAAGGGACACAAATGTTCAGAATAGGTGATTAAGAATATTAAACTTTAACTTACTGCATGCTTCAATGTACACATTTCATAAAGCACACACCCAAGGGCCCACATGTCACTAAGAAACAAAAACAAATAGTACATTTACAATGGCTGCTAAAAATTCAAGTTTGTCTTTGGTCCCTTCCATAAAAAAACCTGTGCAGGAATATATTATACTCATCAGTTGTATGAGCTTGAGAACATGGAAAAACGCCACAGTTGAAATATACTCTGTTTTGGTTCACTTAGGTACACAGGAAGAAATTATTAGATTCCTTATACTATACTAAGACAGAACACCGATTTATCAGTGAATCCAACTGGTGGTGTGTAAACCATGCTTATGATATATAGCATTTTATGTGATATAAGCCACTGTGACTTACTGATTGACTTTCAATGGTTAAATAAAGAAATTGTGGCTCAGTGTACAATGGATTCAGATTGTAATCTAAGTACCATCTGCCTACTTACTGCTTCTATTTCACTTTCTCCTAGGCCATTTATTTCAAACTCTAGAAAAAAATAAAATTCTATATTACTGAAGCAGCACCAATCCTTGCTAGTACCGTAGTAAATTACACATAATGAGATGGCTACTTATGGAGATATTTTGATTAACAAATATATATATAATGGTATTTTAAGATATTTACTACATACTTAGGTTTTCTAATTGTAGAACATATACTGCTTTATAGAATCAGAACTACATATTACAGATTTTTAGTAGTCAAAAATTTCATTTTTATTCCTTTATTAAAAACTATTATATTGAGACTAAATAAACACACCAATTTCTCTACAAAACTAAAAAAGAGCAAAGTTACATGAGAACAAGCAAGTTGAAAAAAATCATAGCACAATAAAAGGTCATGGTATCTATGCAGATTACAATGGAAAATACTTAAACGCTACCTTTTATTATTGTAAGGTTTATTCTCACAGATTTCTGGTGACAAGTAATATGGTGTTCCTATACAAGTTTGAGCAAGTTCCACTGTACTAAAATAAAAAAAAATGGTATTAATCAAATAACCATCTTAATAATATTATTAGAATTGGGGCAATGGGAATTGTTTTAAGGTTACCTATTCAGAACTCTAGCTATACCGAAGTCTCCCAACTGTATTGTTCCATCTTTGGTTAAAAATATATTCTGGAGTAGAAGAAAAAACATACTATTATTTTTAAAATATATATATATATACAATAATTTGATTTTAACTCAAAATTTACAATTATAGTTAGAAACTACTCTTGGCTGAATGCCCATTATATTATTCAGAGATAACATACAGTTTATGTTTTGGCTTGTATTCTGTAAATCCAATCACTGTGCTTTAAAGATCCATTGTTTATAATGTATGTTGTAGAAAATGAAGCGATTTTGCTGTATTCAAACATGGTTACATAATGTGAAGTGCAAATCTAACAATTCAGTCCCAAACTTCTACAAGTGAAGCACGCTTGCATTTTTCCTATGCTATTTTTCCAATCTTTTATTTTGAAGCAAATTAATTCACAGAATCATGCATATCAGCCTCTAAGCAGAAAAAAGGATGCTTGATTAAACTTCAGGAGTCATCAAACTGTTTCACTATGACCATATAACAGTTAATATACAAATAGCATATTTTCAAAAAATGTTGTAGTCCTTCTAAGAGACGCAATTAGACTTATATACCGCTTCACAGTGCTTTACAGCTCTCTCTAACCGGTTTAAGAATCAGCATATTGCCCCCAACAATCTGGGTCCTCATTTTACCAACCTCGGAAGGATGGAAGGATGAGTTAACCTTGAGCCGGTGAAGAAATCTAAGATAAGATGAAATAAATACTAAATGTTTTAAATTAATAAAACTATTAAATTCATGATAGAACTAGGATCAATCCACTATGTGCAGCTGGGTGACTTTGGACCAGTCACTTTCTCTCAGCCCAATGCACCCTCACAGATTTGATGTTGGGGAAAAATAGGCGGAGGAACTGTTGGGAGTTATTTGTAAAAATAATAACAGTGGGAGATGGGATATAAATAAGTAATAACACAGTTGCTTCAATATACCCCAGCTGTCTCTGCATAGACTTTCATGCATAGCTGCTTTACTAACAGGTGGAATTGTGTGCATGTGCACAAACAGAAACAGAATTGAAGCCAACTGCCAAGCTCTTCAAAGGATCTGTTTTAACAATTTGTTTTGTTTGTTTTGTTAATTGAAGCTCCTCTTTTGAATGCTTAGCACAACTATAGTCTGTACATTGTTAATCTAACTAAACATCGGCTACATTATTTAACACTAATTTAACTTTCATTTAGAGGACAACTTGTTCTTGAGAAGGCATTCTAGCCTAGAATTTTGGTTTTATATTTATATTATAATCTAAAAGTATTTTTCGAAGTATAAGACACTCCAAAGTATAAGATGCACCTAGCTTTCAGAGAGGAAAACAGGGGGCGGGGAGAAATCTGCCTCTGCCTCCCAGCAATTTGCCTCCTTGCAGCAAACAGCAAACAGTACAGAAGATATACACTGTGTATACATTTCAGACTATACTTATATAGATGCTGTTAAAATTGATGTAGCTTTCTGGAAGTATACGTTATTCTCTGCTATTTAAAAGAAGATACAATAGCACTGGGCCTCTTCAGATCAAGCATTTATTTTAAAAAGCTTCTTCATTTTATTAAGTTGTCTAGAACAATAATAATAAATCAGTCTTTAAAAAAAGTCTAATAATTAGAACATTCTATAGGCATTTATACTTATTGACTTACTTCCTTGCAATAGCCTATTTCAGTTTAGCCTGATAAGAGGAGAAAGAAAATGCCTCTGCCTTCCAGCAATTTGCCCCTTGCAGCAAACAGCAAGTTTCACTTTCAATTTCAGCATTCCCGATGATCACCTGTTTCAGGATGTAGGGATTGCCATAGCCTATTGCTGCCTGCGCAAGCCCCATTTTCTCAGTTTGCTGCAAGGAGGTAAATTTCTGGGAGGCAAAGGCAAAAGGGTGGGGGCTAGTGGGTGGACGGGTGTATACATTCGGTGTATAAGACGCACCCAAGTTTTCACCCTCTTTTAGGGGGAGAAGGTGCGTCTTATACTCTGTAAAATATGGTAGCTTAAGGCTCCTGCACTTCTGTTCATGGAAGAGGATGAAACTGAAGGTATAAACTTGGAAAACTTGCTGAAAACCTAGAGTTTAAGACAGGCAAATAGGCATAACAGAAAACAATAATTTATTTAAAATCTAGAACTTTAAAATCCCATAGCTACACATATTAATAGTGGGAAGAAAAACCATGAGCTTGATATTTAGTACAGCTCATTTCTGAAATACTATATTTCAACAATATAACTGTTGCTTTCAATAAGCCATCTCTCCAGTGTGAAGAACTTATTTATTTCAACAATAATTGTGAGCACAAGGTTTCAGCATACCTATTAAAATTCCACATAAAATGGTTATATCTAACTTACCTGTGATTTTATATCTCGATGCAGAATTTTCCTATCATGTACGTGCTTCAGTGCTAAACATATTTGTACAAACCAATCCATGATCTATAGTTACAAAGAAATTACTTTTTGTTAGAAAATTATATTTTTAGTATGAGATTAAAATTAATATTCTCAGAGAGTTTTGCTGTTTTACTACACTCAAAATTATTTTAATTTTTTTACAAAAAGAAAAAAAATTACAGATAGTATATTTCAGAGTATGTATAAGTTAGGAATGAAATTCCCATAGATGGGAATGTCAGCTTCATTAGCTCCTTTCCTTTCCTTTTGAAAAGACATGAAGTGGTCATTTAGGCAGAAGCATCTTCAAACAGCTTTTTTTTCATAGAACTGCATGTTGCTCATAGACAGAGATTCAGGAAAGTGGAGGCTTTATAAATAGTATCAGACCCACAAATATGGTAGTTTAGTAAGTTAGTTTTCCCCTAAAAAACAAATACTGAATTAAGATTCAGTCACCACCGTCAAACACCATTGTCCTTCTTTCTCCATCTCTATTTCCTTGTGCAGTCCTTGTGACTGTGAATCTGAATCCAGGAATTGTCCTAAAGACAGCTCAGTATCTACACTTCCTAGCCATTGGAATGCACAACATACATAGGCAAGATCACATGGTTTCCAGACTTTTTTTTTCTTTCACAGTTAACAGCAGCAGGGTCTAGAATGTCTGATGCTAAGCAACATGGTCCTATGGTGCAATATCACATGATTGTGCTGCTTAGTAACAATTCCAGTACTTCTGGTTACCACTGTTAAGCAAATCTCATGCTGTATGATATCACATGATCTCTTGCTGACTTTGACTTTGCTTGTCAGAAGCTGGCTATGAAGGTTGCAAATGACGATCATGTAACAGTGGAGACACAGTCACAATTACTCTGAGAACTAGTCATAAGTACCATTCATTCAGAACTATCATAAGTTTGAATGGTTGTTTAACAAGTGATTGTTAAAAGTGGATTACGGTACCTATATTCAAATTTACCAAGACTGAAAAAATCAATTTGAGTATCAGCAACTCATCATATTGATGCCTTACTCAGTGGTTAAGGATGCTGAGCTTGTCAGTTGGAGAACTGACAGTCTGGGTTGGAACCCCAAGCTCCACGCAACAAGGTGAGCTCCTGTTACTTGCCCCAGCTCTTGCCCATCTAGCAGTTTGAAAGCATGAAAACGCAAGTAGATTAATAGATACTACTTCAGTGGGAAGTATAGCATCCTCTGCATCTTTGGCATATAGCCATGCTGGCCAGATGACCATAACATGTTTTTGAACAATCCTAGTTCCCTCAGCCAAGAAATGGAGAGCAGCATTGTGCCTTAGCCTTGGACATGACAGGAAACTTTAACTTTTTTATTGTTCTTTCACAATAGTGCTAATGCTTTCTTTCCCATGTTGTGACTTTTCATACTCTGTCCATTTTTAATGATATTAAAAATATAGTCAGTGACAATAATAAAGATTGTCTTTTCAACATTATTTTGCATATTCATGAATCAATCTCTTCTCTTTTCTAAACAAGCAAAGCACACCAAGACCTTTTGTATTTAACACAATTTTTTCTAGACTTGTCAAAGCCACCTAGAAGCTAGCTTGCATTTGAGTCCACAAGGTATCAGCTTCTTTGAAGGAGTGTGCAGTTCTTTAGCTTTGGATGAGGTGATGGTAACTAACTCAAGCAAGTATCACTAGATCTAACAATCTTAGATAAATGTAATCCACACTCCACCTTTCCATTTCTTGGAAAGACGCTGGAGGGAGCAGTCAGGATTTAATTCCAGAGGATTCTGGAGGATGATTATTTGGACCTTTTCCAGTCAGGTCTCAGGCCAGGGTTCAGGAAATGACATTAATTGATGACCTATGATGAAGCGGGGATAGGAAGGATGTGACCATCCTCATACTCCTTGATCACTCACTAGCTTTCGACACAATTGACCTTAACATCCTTTTAGACCAGCTTTCAGGACTGGGAGTAAGAGGCATCATTTTATGTATTTGTCTCATTTCTCTATGGCTGATTTCAATTAGTATTGGCAGGCCGGGAGAAATTACACATAGGATTCTTCCAATTTAGCCCAGCAAGGTGAATGTACTTCCACCAATAAAAGAATGTCATCGTCAGAATCAGGAAGCTTTCTGGAAGGATCTTACCCCAGAGATTTGTGTGGCTCCCACCTTTATATCATTCAGGAAAGCACTGAAGAATAGGATGATTGCAGAGCTCTTTTTTGTTTTTCTTTGTTTTATTTTGATCTGAACGATTTTGTTGTTATTTTGCTCTTCCGAGTAACTTTATTTGTTCTATGTTTTTTTTAGCTGTGAGTCACACCAAGAGTTATTTAGAAGATGGACAGCCTATAAAATAAATAAATATTCCAATTTTTATTACCTGGTCTTCTGAAAAAAAGACTCCTTTTTGTGCATTGATTTTTTTAAACAGATCTCCTCCTTCACAATAATCCATTACTATATAAAGGCAGCCAGCTTCTGTAACAAAGAAAAGAAAATAGTTGTTTATATATATTATATACTATTAATAAAGTAATTTCTTAGTTTCTCATCTCTAATAATTACATATTTTCAAAGTAATGAACAGATATGGTACCTTATAATCATAATTCAATAACATTCTCTTAGAAATCCTACTGATCAGTATTATAGGTAGCCCTTGAGTTACAAATGGAATGGAATTTGCCCATTTCATTCATACCTTGAATGATCTTGAGATTATTCCTTGCTTTCACCCATGTATTCAATAATAATAACTGTTAAGTGCACATGAGATATCTCAGGTGGGGAAGATCATTGAGGGTGGGGTGTAGTGATGGAACAAGCCCCCAAGGCCTCCTCAACCCTCTAAGATACCTCATGCTTCCCACTTCCTGCGGCACTGGACTTACCTTGCAAAGATTTGTCTCCTCTCTGTCACGGTTTCTTTCACTTTGAGAGAAGAGTCAATGGAAGCTCCTGGGTGCCTGTCTTCTACCCCTCGCCCCTCCCCAAACTCCTTTCCACCACCATCGGGACACTTTCCCCCCAGACAGTGACTGGACACTTCATTTGCATGCAAATGGGACCTTTGAAAACCTAGGGATTTGCTCCGTTTTAAAATGCTCCATAGACAAAGGGTCCTTAAACTTTTTAAACAAGGGGCCAATTCACAGTCCCTCAGACTGTTGGGGGACCCCGGACTGGTTGGATATGGCCAAGTAGTCATGTGACTGGATGGGTGTGGCTAATTTAACAGACCACTGAACAATGCACACAAATTAAACTTTAATTTGTTTTGCTCCTAGGAGTGTTTTATTTGCTTTTGTTTGCATGTTG